AAAGGTTTTAAAATTTGGTGGCGCATGCCCCTTGTATTCAATCCAATCTAGAAAGAAAACACGTACTCCCCATTTAACTGGGATTCGTCGACAACGATAAAACGGACCATCGTGTTTGCTTTTGGTGAGCTACGTTTATTTACGCGTTGGACGTCGGTACCGGGCGTTTCTCGCGAAGTTGGAATTGGCCAGACGACGATTTGTGTTTGTCGTTATGGCGGGAATGACATTTTTCATGTAAACTTAGAACAAATAATTATTTTTCATATAGCTCAGATTTATTCATTTTCAGTTATGATTTTAATCGTTTTCATCCCATAACTTCCCTTATTATGAAATGCCCGTCTCTTTATTTGTTTTCCGAACTCAACATTCTAGTCCTACGCATGGCACTGGGCCTTGATGCTCAATAATGCAATACATTATCGCGAATAATCTGTTGCAAGACGTCATAAAATTCGCTGGTATTGACAATGTTATAATAATTATTTACCACTATGACCGTAATATGAATGAAACAATCTACAACCGCCCTCTCTGCAAGAAATAATTTCAATTATTAAAACATTCATATATAACGCCCTCGACGTTGGTGATGAATTGATCGTTTGTTTTATACGTGACATTTGGTCTATTTAGTAGTTTTATAGTTGCTTATAAAGAAGCATAATAACATTTTCAAACTGTTTTAAAATATGTACACAAACATTTTTATAAGTTTACCTATGAATGTAGAAAGCCTAGGATCCCTGCATGTGCATGACGTTGATAATAACTAGCCTTGGAGATCGGACGAGGGAATATACATATAACAAAGGAACACTCACATAACAATACGTAACATGGGATTGAATATTTGGTTCAGAGTTCAGTGTAAAGTATTTAATAATGTTCTTTATTGAAATATTAAGTATTATATAAGTCAGATTTATTTGCCTGCTCAGTTGGGCATTGTTATGTTTTTAATAGACTCAGTAGATTAAAGAATGCACTGCTACCATGCATAATAACTATTTATACTAAAGTTAATAACCTTTACTTTCTGTACTTTTAATTATGCAATTAGCATTCATGTCACCTGCATTGTGTACTTGTGAGCTAGTATTGTGTATGTCAGTTGTCGTTTTTCATTGGTTATGTCTCGTTGGTGCTTGTTCGTTGCACTTTCATGAACAATGGACTTTAACACCCAATACTTGGCAAATTTGAATGCTTAGACTTGAACATTTGAACATTTGCTGAACTAAATTGTGCACTACATTGAAGTATTTTGTCATTTCGTGCAATGGTAATGGCCACAAGGGAACAGGTTTACACTGGTAGTATTATGTGATACTGTTATCGGCTGCACTCAAAATACCGTGTCGTCTGAGACTGCAGTTCTTGATTGGAAAGAGACTTCTATATATGTTTATGAACGCCGCTGTTTTAACCAATGAACTCAGGTGTAAATGGACTTATACTCAAACTAATGCTATATGTTTTTACCATTTATTTGATTACTTTACCCAAAAGACTGACCTTATCCTTATATTGATATCAATATGTATATTTACTATTCAGACTTTAAAGACAGCATATGGTTTATAAAATTAAAGACACTCAATGTAGAAATCATGGATCAGTTAAACATTTTGTGAGATGTCGTGTTGGCTATACAAATTGTTGCTTGTATTCTAACTATTGACACTCGCTTTGAGACGACAGCAGCGCAAATACGTACTAGAATAGTACACAGCAAATAGTATAAGTAGCGGTAAATTTGAATTCTGATTTGATTTGTACAATATTCACATTGGGAAAGATGTACTCAGATGTACTACATCTGTGATCGGCTGGAGAAGATGACCTAATGCTAACCTATAGTGATTCCACACGACGCATATTGCTTTTAAAAAGGTTAAATTATACATACAGTAAATTCTAGATTAGATGTTTCCAATATTTGACCAACGAAATCAATCATTTATCAAATACGACCAATACTGGGGCAAGTGTGGCCAATAATAGATTCACTGTTACCAATCATAAACCATATATTGTTAATTGAATTATAAGTGTGTAAACGAAACAATTCTTTCTTTGGTTAACTTTTTCGTTAAGTTTAGGATAATGGGCAAATATAATTCCCCAATATATGATACTGCATAAATGCTGGCGTTGATAGCCATATTTACATTGGTTTCTATGAGGGCAAGGGCAAATTGATGTTACAACCGTGATTACGGGTGCCATCTCACAAGTCTTGACTGATTAGCGGTTGTGAATTTACAATTTGTTTTTACTTGTACTAATACTTACGAGTAGGATGCAGTGTATAAAAAGTATGCGCCCTCAATAGTTCACAGCAAAAATAAACGCCCTTTGACATTGTATAATATATATTTATTGCACATGCATACCATATTATACAAAACTGTTAGTCAGGAACGCAGCCACTTTGCTGTTGACACCATTAGGCTAGTACCATATTCAGAGGTGAGCTGATGATATTTTCTGTTACAACTAAATGTATTTTTGTTTTGTTTACCTTGATGTAGAGTTTTTAAAGTCATCAACTATCCTACAATTCTTAAACACCCACTATCCGCGTAATTCTGTTGTGCATTTCATTCAAGTATAAACTCTACTTTCCAACATATGTACTTTTTAGTACATTTCATTTCGTCACGTAGGCATATGCAATACAAAACTATTTCTCATATTTCCTTTTTATTTAAACCCATAGTTTGTTTTCTGTTATTATATGCCCTCTAGAAATAGAACATGTTACTTACTTTTTAATGCAGGTTGAATATATAAATATATGGGATATGTATAAAACACCATTTGCTACAATTTATTAGAAATTGTATTATTTAATTGTACAAAAATGTGTACACATGTGTGAATTCCCTTAATTAATTTAGTGTTGATAACATTCTTAATGAATACTGAGCGACTGATTGATAAGTAGAGATATCAGTGTTAAATTCAACATGCGCGGTGTCAGAGTACAGGTGTATTTGAAGAAATATAATTATGCATAGTTAACATAATATTCTTGTTTTTGTGTTTTAGTTACTGAAATGAATTCAAAATTATGTGTTGTTTTACTCGTCTTAATGAGTGTGTTGCGAAGTGGTGCATCTGGTAAGTCAAACACATTATGAATATTACACGAATTAGTTTACTATGTAAGACACGTATAGTACGTTTCATAACATTACACGTTTTGGAGGTTGACCTGATATAATGCGCGATAGAAAACAATTCTTACGCTGCAAATGACGTTTTTGAAGGTAACACTACTGATAGTTTAATTAGTTGTTTCTTGCGGCAACACATTAACGAATCACACCCTGCAAAAGCGTTAACTTTAAACACCAAAATAGCGTTGCTCATAAATCTTGTAGCTGATACAGTGTTAGCACGATTAACGAGACCTTACTAAAAATATAACATATTTAAAGAACGTGGTACCTTACATTAGATAGATGAAATGATGACGTGGATCGAAAGTCAATAAATCAATAAATGTTTATATTCAGCTCTCCATTAGATTTTTAACATGGGATCTCGCAAAGAAAATGGTTTATTGCATTAGTTTTGTTGTGAATCCTGTGGAATTTTGTATTAGCTGAACAAAACCACTGAATAAATATTTCCACATCACAACATCATGTAATACGTTTACTTTACTCATTTTGTGTCCGAATTGATGTTTTCATGAATAATTATTCACATAACGGAGTGCTTAGATACATTATTCGAAACAAACGCTTGATTCATCCACCTTACTCAATCAAAACACAAGAAAATAAGTCAGTACACTCTAGCATACATAACCTATTCACAGCTTATTCACAGTCATTTTTTTGTATTCGGCTTACAGCACAATGCAATCCAAGGTACGAATATGAATGTGGTGATGGCACTTGCATTATCCGTTATTGGCGATGTGATGGCGTTCACGACTGCAAAGATAATTCTGATGAAACTAATTGTGGTACGTTTCTGTTGTTGTATATTTCGCGTACAATTTGATTTCAGGTCATCCGATATGTAGGTGTCTAGTTTCGCATTGGTGATTAATGTTAATTGTAAATATCATAAGAATGTATATGTATACCAGTAAATAAAGCTTATTTAGTGTATTTTTATATCATTTTCGTAAAATACATAGCGCGCAATTAATGAAAATGCGTCTGTTGGTTAGTTTGAAATTTACTTGCTCTTGTTTCCGGAAGGTTTCCGGAAGGTTTTGTATATTTAAACGGAATAGAGCGTACGGCGCTAATCAGCATCTGTTTTTTCCCCTTTTTTGAAATGTTGATTCCATCGGTGACACTAACACAAGTACACTGCGTAACACCGAGATACGGGCAAATGTTTGCGCCACACCTGTATGATATAATACATATTTTCATAACAATGACTGCTAATTCCAGATACTGGATTTGAACTTGCCTCAAATAACGTTTAAAATGAGGTTTATATAATATAATATAATAGGAATATTCAACCTAACTTATACTCATGTGTGTATGTCGTGAAACTGGAAAAATCGCGTGGTTTAATCGTCTCTGGGAGTGACTATTTATCGAATAATTTACGGTTATACACCTAATATCAATGGATATTTCTATTATTCAACAGGTCAAGTCTGTTACGATTGTTCCTATAAGTATGACCCTGATTACCCAGACTACTTTGGATGTATGCCTGACAAATATCCAAACTATTGCTTTAAAGATGTAAGTACCAAACATTTGTTTTATCATTAACTAAACGGTTCTATGATGCCTTTAATATATCATGTTGAATCAAAATGATTTGTGTTTTGCACGTACAAGGCAATGATAAAACTGTTGTCTACGTTGTGTTTATATGCAGGAAATCTGTTCTACTGAGTACACCAAGACAGAAAATGGTATTATTATTTCTCTCGGATGCATGAATCAACTTGTAAGTAGTATCGTCACTATCAACAAAAACTTGGCTATGGGTGTGAATTCACTCAAATCCAATCAAATAATTAAGATATCGATTATAGTTGAAATATAAAAACAGATCTTCATTGTTTTGTCATGGTAGCGTAATAATGCCAAAATTAATTTTCTGGGTCAAGTATCAAATACGTTATTTCTTATAGATAATTTTTTTTGATTATGTTTCGAAACAGACTTCTCTGAATTTAGTGCATTTCTTTTTAGTATCAATCACTTGTGTAGTCATACAATGCTTCTATGTCAACCCAAGTAAACTAAGCTACGCGAAATAAAGAATAAAGCAAATCCATGTCATTTCTATTTCTAGGAATGCTCTGTAAACAATTCGAAGAATGATGATAGTTGTAACAAAGATGACCCTGGTGCTACGGAAACAAGCTGTACATTTTGCTGCGACAGCGAGTACTGCAATGACGCATAAAGATAAATGTTTCGTCTTTTTGCGTATCGCGATTAGTTATTTTCACTAAAATGGTGATCATGTGGTATAGTTATGTGTATTAAGTAATACTTGAATAAATATAGAACAACTGTAATGTCCGTTGGTTTCTGTGAATGTTTGTTGTAATATTATTTGGTCTGCTATAGTAATATATATATCGTGTCTGGCACGCCATTCCACGTGTTTGGATAAGAAATGGATCTCATGTTTCATTAATTGATTTTATAAGTTATTCGAACATTGATTGCAAAAACAAATGTCTATTAAATGCAACAAATGCCTTAGCGAGTTTTTATTATTATTTGTTTATTCATATTGTTATTTGTCTGAAATTCACTTTGCACATATTCGACTTGGCACACGTCTCTGCAAGAATTAGGCACTACAACAGTAGTAAAGCATTTTATTCAAAACACGTTGTAATGTTTTAGTCAAGAAGTACTAAAATATGTTACTGATGTTTGTGTGTGGGGTCTGTGGGCGAGCGCATGACAGAACTTCGATATATTCAAACTGTGACCCACAATGTACAAATGATGGTTTCAAGAGATATTCACAATCTCGAAAAACACAATTTAAGATCAAAATTGAATGCAATATATTGACGTGGCGATTTGACCAAAAACCCCAAATTTAGCACTTGCCTCTGTTTAATTGCATGCATATGGTAAAATCTGTATCCTGTATCATATTATATAATTCCGGACTCAAACCACATTGTGAATCATCATTGAAGTTATTGTTATCAGTGATGTCATATTCCCGGGTATCGGTGTAACAGCAACAGTTTGAGCACGTTTTACTGTAATTCCAATGATGATTTGCATCAAAGCCATAGTTAGAGATTGTCAAGCTTTTGACATCTACACCAGTAAAATTGTGAAAACATGTGATTATTGTACTATGTTATGTGCTACTCATGTACATACACCTTTGGTAGACATTCTGATATTATACAGTAGTTATATTTATGGATATTATCATAGAGGAAAGGGTAGGTACTGGCATTTATGGATTGTGAGGGCAAGAATCTATATATAATTAATCAGTATAGTTAAAGTGTCATGTCTAGAGGATTGCGCTAATTGGATGTGCATAATACCCCACAGACAAGGTGATGATTTGCAAGCTACATGCGAAATATGTGGATTGAAACAATACAAGATTAGCCTATAACTGGACTAAAATAAAGAAAGTATAGTAGCGATTGCAAATTACATATCAAATAATTTAATATTTCAGAAAAAGAGATTATATTGATAATCTGGTACCCGACCCAACCACACAACTTTGTGCTTGTATGTCACCTACTTTACTCTTTGAGTAATCTGAAACAAAAATTCTCAGTAGAAGCAATATCAACAGTACAATTCACACTGAATGTTGTGGTATGCACTGTCATCATGGTGATTAGCATACGTAAGAATGAATAACATCTAACACATTGAACCTAGCTGGTTACGATGTGATTGCCCGCAAGTTTCAATCCTTTCCATTATGTTAACTATATTCCATCCCTTTTCACAGATACATACAATTCGTCACAAAAATTAAACATTTGTAAATCAATGTTGCAAAACAAAAAGTCACAGCTGTACATGCCTCGGTGGAATGAGCTGGAAACCTGGGAACTTATATAAAAAGTAATTTTAATTGGATACTCATTCTTGACATTCGTACTCACGTAACATGTCTACATTATATTAGAGGAGATGATGAAAGTTGCATAAGGTCACACGCGTCATTGCATATACATGTGCATTTGTTAAAATGACATACAGAATACACTACAGTGGCATATATATATGTATTTGTTTAAATGAGATACCGGATAAACTACAGTTGCATATATTTGTGTATTTGTTTAAATGACATACTAAATACACAACAGTTGCATCTATATGTGTATGTGTTAAATGACACACCGAATACACTACAGTTGCATCTATATGTGTATGTGTTAAAATTATACACCGAATACACTACAGTTGCATCTATATGTGTATTTGTTTAAGTGACATACTAAATACACAACAGTTGCATCTATATGTGTATG